TTTCGTAACTGCGTTGGATATTCTTTTTAATGAAATACAGATGGACTTATTCTTTCAATCTGTCTTCAAGCTAAGAATTTGGGAATAATCGTGTAAATGGTAGATAAGTAAAAGCTTTTATACTATTGCAAGTGGAAAGAGACTAAGTTTGGGTGACTATTATAGAACTTTGGGATATTTTAGAAGCAACATCTGATTCACAGAGAAGGAACGTTCCAGAGCCCAGTTTTGATTGCGGATAAATCGGTGTTAATAATTTGGAAAGAGGTTTCGTAGAGCACTCGGGAGACCCAGCAATATAACTTTGTTTGTAAGGACATTTCTGTAGTTTTGGTATCTAGTACAGTAAAGAAAAATCAAGTTCTTGATCTAACTGAACTGTGAATACATTATTCCTTTATCAAGGAGTTCATCTTATTTGATTTATACACAAAACGATGTTGTTTTGGGTTCTATCTGCGGGGACAACATATCTGTCACAAGGTAGGACAGGTGCATAGCAACACTTGGGTCCTTGAAGGTAGATGTAGCAGACATGTACTCCTTATAATTATTCTTTACAAAATATACATTTTCCATATATTTTGTCAGTAGGGAACTGATCTAATCACGACAAATTAGCGTTGACCAATCAACCAACGGTATGACACACCTTGTCAATCGGAAGAGCACATGTTTAAAAAATAATTCCATACACCAAATACAGATGACGTATCACAGAAAGAATTTGAGAAACTGACTTGCAAACTCTTAGGTGCAACCAGACAACTACGATATTGAAGTCAACTCCAAAAAACCCTGTACCAAAAACATGAACCCGTACCCAATACAACCTTTCTATGCACCGATTACATATCACTTATAGTATCAGAGAAACTGATCGTATCACGAAAACTTGATATTGATCAATGAACCATGAAAACGAGAAAAATATTCAACAAGCTTATGAATTGATATGCTAGACGCATGTTTCGTTATGAGACTAACCAAAAAATTAAATAATACTTTCAAAATTTTATCACACGAAGCTATTTTCTGTACCTTCAAATCAAAACAATTGGTAAAAGAAATCAATTACGAAGTAAAAGAAGACTACAACAGAAATTCTATCAAATTTAGGCAACAGCAGTTTACTGATGTTCACAAATCATAAATGGATTAAGAAGATACAAATCAATGTTACACCCAAACATGAACTCTATACGAATCGAAGCCAGGTCCATCAACAGGTTAAAAATCTCCTCATGTGCATGCATCATTCATGATGCGAATTCACACTAAGTCAAGTTGTCACTATCGGGAATAGGACACAATCTGTAAAACATGTCGCTATTGAGTTTAAACACAGACATATCGGATCGGGCAACCCATTCGTGATAGTGACAGTAAATCTTAGGTATAGTGAAGATTTCAGTCACTCTTCCTCATTGCTGTTTTAATGTAAGGAGACAATCCTGTTAATTTTTTAATTATATTCACAAGAATGCATGTATTGGCTTAACAATTTGCCCAAGAATAAAGGTTTATTCAAAATTCAAAACAATATACAAAAGAATATATGTAAAGGCAAATGGAGTTACACAAGAATTGTGTATGGACAGAACAAGATATGAAATGATTAAAATGGCAAAATAAGAAAAAAGAGAAATGCATAAGAATTTAATAATAAATAATTAAATTATAAATCAGCAACTAGTATTGACTCAAGTTGAATATTAAACAATATACAAGAGATTAAATAAAATTAACCCAAAAATATCAATATGTCATGTTACCCTTAAGCTACCTCTAACTTTCGGCTGCACACCCCTAACTTTATGCTAGAAGTCTTAGATTTTAATGAAAAGGCATAATAAAAAAATTATTTTTGAAACTGAAATATTCTGCAGCATCCTAATTTAGGACAGAATTCCGACTGGTTAGGCTTGTAGTATAATAATATGCCTAGGAAGGGTAACATTACTTTCTACTATTACCTTGTGAACTAGTATGTGACCGTCAAGTACAATGTTGTGTTCATGATCATACCATGTAAACATGTTATCAAGAATATGAAGAAAAATTTGCAAATGGATGTTACCCATACATCCATCAATTAATCAATGTTATCTTCCTCTCATAAACAACAGTGCCTTCCTAAAAAAAGTCTAAAACAAACATGTAAAATTTAGAGAAAATTGTAACTGTTGTTTTTTTTTTCAAAGAGAAATATTTTCCTCCTCTTGTAAATGCTTTTATTTGAGTTCATGATACCCCCAACTAAACTGAAATTTACATTATTATCGTACAATTCATTTGAAAAGAAGATCTGTTGATGTGTTTTTTTATGAATAAGTAAACTCTACTAAGCAATTACAGTCATACAAATACAGAACCATTCATGCAAGCTAAGAAATTATTTTTCAGGTAACAAATAGGCCCTGGCTTAATAAAATAGTTGATTTGTCATTGTCACAAGCATTTCATTTCAATTCAAATTACAATGTATCACAGACAATCATGGTCATGGATAAGGAAAAAGTGTCAACAAATTGTTTTATAATCATCATATAAACAAAGAAGTCAGGTAGTACTTGTATACTTCTAACCCAGGAATCAGATGTCATTAGTCCATTTAATACTTATCATACTAATTACTTATCATCATTGGGACTTCAACATTAGATTTTCAGACCCTGTTGGAAAATAAATTCACCATAGATACCAGGCTTATTTTTTTTTACGTCAAAAGCGATTTTATGTATAAAAGATTTATCACTGACTCGAGAATCAAAAAAGTTAAAAAGGCCAAATAATGTACAAAGTTGTAGAGCATTGAGGACCCAAACTTTCGAAAGGTTTTTACAAATACATCTAAGGTAATCTTTAAGCTCACCTTTGAAAATCATGTGAATAGTGTTGTGTTTTTGTTTTTTTAACTATATATACTTAAGACATTACACTCATCACTTTCATATCCATCCCTGTTAAAACAGCAAATATATCTTTGATATCAAATTTTACAATAATGTTAAACAATCAACAAAACGAAAATTTATAACTCATCATTGTATTCAAGAATTTGTTTGGTGTTATGATTCCTGGATGAGCCTTAAGACAAGTAATATATCAAATTTCATTTCTGTATGTTGTGAAAGTAACAAGACCTTTGGCATTAAATGAACATTCAATTGGATGCTTAAATCATGTGGTTATATTTTCCTCGGGTAATGAATATATGTAGTCTATATCTAGAACATGTTTCAAACTTTCCAAATCCTGGATATCTTTAATAATAGAAAATTTTATTAAAATAACAACAAAAAGTCAATATCACGATAAATTTCAAAAGCAATGACAGTTTTAAACTCTACCAAGCCTTTTTTCAATTTTGTGTCAAAACCTTAAGTGGATGAGATCTCAAGTCATTACAGTAGTGTTGTCTTTATACTGCATGCAACCTTATATTTGTATTAATCAATTTTATGTTTCATTTTCTTTGTTAAGATCTTCAGCCAAAATATATTTTTGCATTAATTTGTAGAAATCACTGAGACCATGTTCAAGTAAATTGCAAACAAACAATAAAACACAAACATAAAACAATACCTAATTAATATAATGTAATAAACAAAGGAGAAGGTCTGGTAAGGGCTAGTTATGGCCTAAAATTCAAAGTACATCTGATGAAAGTTTTTTGACATTTTATAAAAACTTAAGTGTCTACTTCAGTCGATTCAATTAATTTACATAAAAGATCTGAACTGATTTGGTCATTAAAGACAATCGAATTCAAGCTTAAATATGAAAAATCTATCAAATATGCCATAAAACGTCACTTTTCAGATGGTTTTGTCTAAAATGTAAGTGGCCTAATTCGTGTTCAGTTCTATATTATCATCAAATACAATATATATTTAAATATTAAAAGACTGAACACAAATGCGGCCACTTCCAATTTAGACAAAAACCGTCTTAAAATTAGCACAAATGCTAAAATTGTGAAGATTTCAGTAATTTTGCATGAATTTAATTTGTTAGTACCTGATGCATGTGCATTGTACTGTCAAAAACAGCCCATATTTATGGAACAAAAGTATTCTACTTTCCAAATAAATAGCTAAAAGTTTAAATTTCAACAAATTTGTAAAAATGCTATATTTTGGGCCCAAAAAGGGGTCTTACCGGGCCTACTCCTTTGAACAAGTAAATATGTTTGGTCAAGTTTTAAAACAAGAAATTGATGTACAGCACTTTTAACATTTTTTCAACAAAGGTCAGAATCATATTGTACCTTAAAAGGTATGGCATTAAATGTATGCAACAATAGTTAAATGATGTTCAACTATCAAAAGAAGAAACATATCAAGATAACAAACAAAAATAACAGAATCATCAGAACTCCAAATGTAGCGAGACTGGGTGCATTGACAAGATAAGTGCCTTCTGTCATGCATGCACCACCTGCCATGCTAATTAACAATCAGTCAAAATTGTACAATCAGGAGTATGACACAACTGGAAATATAATAAATAAGATGAATATTCAAGTATTTAAAGATCAAAGACTGTCAAAACATGTTGGTAGTGAGTTAGACACAGCCACCTCAAATCGACCAACCAATTTGTGATGGTGTCCGTAAAAACTTATGTAGTGTCAATGTCAGTCATTCTTCCTCTAAACTCTGGTGAAGAAGTTTTAGAGTAAGGAATAAACCCCTGTTAATGAAGTCCATAGAGTGTGAATGTGTGCAAGCATAAAATATCAATTGAGATATGTAAATGCCATGTGATGGGGCAGATGGTATATTATTGCTGAGAAATGGGAAACTGACAATTTGAAAGTTAAAGTCATCATGTTTGCCATAATATAGTTTGAAGTCGTCAATCTGTGTCAATATCAAGAAAAAAATCAAGAAATGAAGCAGACTTCTGGCTTCTGTGATATCCTTATGTTCCCGGGGATATAAGAGATGGAAATTACTCACCCAAATGTGGGATATTGAGTGACATGAAAAAAATGAGAAAGTTCTATATGAAATCTGCTTCATGTGATTACAAAGTCAGCCAGTAGGGGTTTAAATAAGTACCATTGGAATTAGGCTTTAAACTGTCAATACCCAAGTATTACATAAATTGATGTGGTCAAACAGAAAGAATTCAGTATAAAATATTAACAAGATTGACTGTGAACTAAAGCTCACTAATGATACCCCTGCTATTATTAGTCAGGCAATATGAAGTTTATGAAGTATTAGTAATATTAAGTATTGTAAGTGTTCATTTCAAAGACAAGAATTCTATTTTTCAAGTAAGTGTCAAAGTTACTGTTACATGCATAACCTTTTGTAGGAATATTGACTAAATAAAAATAAGGAGATGAGGTTTAATTTCCAATGAGACAACTATCCACCTGAGTTTAAATGACGAGTTTTTTTGTAATGGTTTTTGTTATAAAATACTGATATTGTCTAATGAATATATCATAATATACCAACATTTAACATGATTAACTGAGAAAGTCACACTTATGTGAAACAGATCAATAAAGATACCAATACATACTTTCCACATGTAACAAAAACTCAACAAAAAATACTAATATAGCTACCAATGAATATATTTGTATATTAAATAGGCCTTTACCAATGTGAGATTCCTTTGTTGCGAAAAAATAAAAATATATAAACATTAAACTCCTCAATAATCATTACAGATATTTGTCAAGATATATATAATAATATATATATATATAAAGAAAACTATTAAAATGACTTATGTAAAAATAAATATATTACATATTCAAAAATACACACAGAGGCAAATTATTTTTATTAATTAAAAGAATAAATTGCCTTTATGTGAACAAGTTTGGTCCTAAAAATCTCAAAGTATAAATTGAGAAAAAAAATCAAACCACTATATAGTTAATCTTTTGTTTGCCCCAGCGTTGATGTAGTTAGTGTTAGCATTATTTTATTGTGATAATCAAAACATAGAAATTACCAAAAAAAAAAATTTTAAAGTTTGATTAACATCAGTAAACAAGTGATTTATCACTTTTACTATGCAGTAGAAAGAAATTATAATAACTTTACTGCATTTAATAATATATTATTAACAACTTTTTAACTGTTTTCTAACAATTAAAATTTTTTTTATAAAATACAACCTAAGGTAGTTAAATGATATGCTTTTGGAGCAATACTTGCTATAACGTCAATACAATACAAATACATGTATGTCATAAAATTTATCTCCCACAGAATTTCTTTCAAATAAATTCCAACTTCACAGAAATAATCTCAATAAATGGGGAATGTGCCATTGGACACAGATGATGCCCCCGCTTGCATATGTTAAAAAGGGATATAACTCAAGAACTGTAAAAGTGACGCTACCCAAATTTGTACTTGATCTGAGTTTTGTGGTAATAAACATTGTGTATACGTTTCATAACATTTGGTTGAGGCAAACTAAAGTAAGAGAACGGAAACGAAAAATTCAGCAATTTTTCCATTTGTAGAGGGCATAACTCTAGAGCAGCAAAAGTGACGCCACCAAAATTTGAACTTGATCTGTGTTTTGTGGTAATTAGCATTGTGTATAAGTTTCATAACATTTGGTTGAGGCAAACTAAAGTAAGAGAATGGAAACTAGAGGGGCATAACTCTAGAACAGCAAAAGTGACGCCCCCAAAATTCATCCTTGATCTGTGTTTTGTGGTAATAAGCATTGTGTATAAGTTTCATAACATTTGGTTGAGGCAAACTAAAGTTAGAGAACGGAAACCAATTTAGGGATGTACGTACGAGCGTACAGACGGACAAGGGTAAAACTTAATGCCCCCTCCGCTACAGCAGGAGCATAAAAATCTACATGCAATTAACAAATTATTGAATTAAAATTGTTCCCAGAAAATAATTAAACAGATAAACAGTCTAGTAGTACTTACATTTTTTTTTGGTTTTTGAATTTAATTATATAAATTTTGCAAAATTAAAATCACATATTAACTATTATGCTAGGAATGTAGTAATTAATGTGCACCTTAATGCACATAACAAATACTATTCATAAAATTAAAATGTTATGTTCAAAGATAATAGCACTTTCACATCATTGCTCTAGCTGATAGTAACACCAATTAAATTAGGCTGGATGTTGTTTGGTTATAAAGTTCAACAGGTCAATTCGTGTGGCAAGGCCAAAAATCATTTGCTTCTTGGACATCATACTCTGGCCTTCATCTGAGAAAAAAAGAAATACTTAACTTTTTATTAATGAAGAAATTCCAAGACAAAACAATGTGAAACGAAGTCATACTTAAATAAAATAATAATTCTTTCTAAGAAATACAAATATTGGAATGATCAAAATTTCAAATGGTCACAGTGGTCAATGATCCAAAATTTCTATGTTAACGTGTAATGAATCCTGAAGGTAATAAAAACTGTTTCTTCTACCCACGGAGGGAGGAGCCTACCCATGGAGGGAGGAGACTGGTGGAATTCAATCTTTCTCCTTCTTTGCTAGTCTTTTTATATCGTTATAATTTAATTTTGGATGGAACACGTCTTCTGATTGGCTGAAAGTGTTTTGTCTATCAGCTCATAGACATAATTTTGTCATGTGACCGTGACGTCATCAACATTTTTATCATGATTTACTCCTTTTTAGAATTAAATTATAAGGAATGACTGTAATATTTTTTCTGTCTATTCGAAATAACCTAAAAAATGTGGTGCACACTTTTAAATAACCCGCTACGCGAGTTATTCAGTGTGCACCACATTTTTGATGTTATTTCTTCATAGACAGAAAAAATATTACAGTCATTCCTTAATTATCTTCCTTGTTCTATATCATGTATATGAGGTTATTAATTGTATGCAGGATACATATAGTACATGTTCAATTGTCAAAAATGATTGTTTTAGAAAGTTTATAGTCTATTAATGAAGTACACATTTTTTCTGCATGCAATAAAACATTACTTCTGTTCAAATTGTGTTACAAATAATTAATTTTCTCTTTTTGATATCCTGCTGTCATTGAATTGGTAAATAGGAAAATAGAAATAGACCTATATCTAAATATAGTTCGTTTTTACTTCAAAATCCAATCAGGTCACTGAATTAAAAAAGATCTACACAAACAACACACACTGCTCTAGAAAAACAATGTGCACCTCATATGTTGTAATTCAATGTCATGCAATCAACTAATTATTCTTTACATTAAATATGATATGAGGAAAAGCCACAACTGTTGAAATAAAAAAATATTTAGCACCACTATCATAACAGATACAAAATGCTGCATTATTCAATCCTTTTTCAATTTGACAGACCTGTGATATCTTTTTAAAAGTAAATTCTAACAACTGTAAACAAGAAAGGCCTGGTACACAGAAGATGAATTATGAATAGGGTATCATAATATCATAATTTCATGCCATTCATCATGTTCATACTGGTTAGATTAGGAAAATCTTTTCAACTGATCAAAGTAATAAAAAGGGTTAATGCCAAATATACAATGTTCTTTCAAGGTCAGACATTAGGATTCAGGGACATAAACAATTCTTAGAAACTTATAATTGAAATTTTTAAGCTAAAACAACGATATGACATTTTTTGGGATTAATTTAAGACAAACATTAAAGATTTCAAACTCACACTGTCTCTGGTCATGAACTACTACAACAAAATGGTCAGTGTCCAGCATTCTTGATATTTGACCAAGAGTTGTACCCATTTGGACCTGTAAATTGAAAGAACAACATCTTAGACATAAATAACATTTGAAAAATATGCATATATTATCACCTAATTTAATTAGTAAATATCCATGAGAATTGTAATAAGAAGGTATAACTAGAGGCTCTCAAGAGCCTGTGTCGCTCACCTGTATTTACTGATGCTTTGGAAATCATGTAAAATAAGGTTAAAATCACAATTAATAGTATTAGATATTAGATATTATAATGATATCTAAGATAATAACAAAAAACTGCAAAATTTTTGTAAAATTACTAACTCAGGGGCAGCAACCCAACAACGGGTTGTCGGATTTGTCTGAAAATTTCAGGGCAGATAAATCTAAATCTGATTAACATTTTTACCACCTGTCAGATTTGCTCTAAATGCTTTAGTTTCAGAGGTATAAACCAAAAACTGCATTTTACCCCTATGTTCTATTTTTAACCAAGTTGGCCATGATGGTTGGAAGGCGGGGGTCATCGGACAAATTTTTTAATCTAGATACCCTAATAATGATTATGGCCAAGTATGGTTAAATTTGTCTCAGTAGTTTCAGAGAAGAAGATTTTTGTAAAAGATTACAAAAATTTACGAAAAATTGTTAAAAATTGACTATAAAGGGCAATTACTCCTAAAGGGGTCGACTGACAATTTTGGTTATGACGACTTATTTGTAGATCTTACTTTGCTGAACATTATTGCTGTTTACAGTTTATCTCTATCTATAATAATATTCAAGATAACCAAAAACTGCAAAATTTCCTTAAAATTACCAATTCAGGGGCAGCAACCCAACAACAGTTTGTCAGATTTGTCTGAAAATTTCAGGGCAGATAGATCTTGACCTGATAATCAGTTTTACCCTATGTCAGATTTACTCTAAATGCTTTGGTTTCAGAGATATAAGCCAAAATCTTCATTTTACCCCTATGTTTTATTTTTAGCCATGGCGGCCATCTTGGTTGGTTGGCGGGGTCATCGGACACATTTTTTAAACTAGATACCCTAATGATGATTGTGGCCAAGTTTGGTTAAATTTGGCCCAGTGGTTTCAGAGGAGAAGATTTTGGTAAAAAGCTAACGACGACGGACGACGACGACCACGGACAACAACGACCACAGACGACGGACGCCAAGTGATGAGACAAGCTCACTTGGCCCTTTGGGCCAGGTGACCTAAAAAATAAAAGTGTGTCTTCGGACAGGAATGCCCCTGCTGAAGCTTTGCAATTTTGAAAATGTTAAAAACGGGCATAACTTTAGAACAGTATGTGACTCGTGGCTTAAATTCGAACTCTGTCTGCTAGTTTTGGTTCTTTGCATTGTGTATGAGTTTCATAAAATTTGGATGAGGAAAATTTAAGTTAAGAGTGCTGAAACCAAAATGGGATGGACGGACAGATGGATTGAAGGATGGAAGAACTGTCAAGGGTAACACTTAATGCCTCTGTTGCCTACAGCAGTAGCATAAAAACCTAGTTTAAGTTTAAGCCTATGTTTCAGTTAAAGTAACTTCAGATAGTAAATCAATATCATCATGATCATTGGTATACTTCTCACTGATATTTTGGATGAAATATATCATCTAAATATTTACAGGTAATGCTAAAAAAATATTTATTTCATGGTGTTAAGGTGGGTGGGACCAACTAATGTTATGAAGCATACTTTTAAATCACAACAGTAGAGAAGCCAAAAAAACAAGGTCATTCTTTTCAGTAGCTCAAAGTTCTTACAACAATGTACTAAGAAAAGTGTTACAAAAAATGTTTGTTCGAAGACTTGATGATTTCAATAAAGCCCCGACTCCTAGAGAGAAGGATTAATTTATGATCAGAGAAGCAGTTTGTTCCATAGTAATTAATACCAGTTATTCCAGTTAGTTTGAACTCAAAAATGAACATAGATAATATAAAAGTATTCCAATGAAAAACAATTCAATCTCTATTACTTAAAAACAAAACATGAAAAAATAACCCACATAAAATACAACACTACATCATATTTTTTAAACTTTAATATTTCACATTATCAAGTCTCTTTACATAAATTGTTCGAACTACCATCTTACCTTTTTAAACTGTTTATACATAACAGCACTGACATGATCTGATGGTTTAACCTTTGACCTGACAACCTGTGACATCATATTACCCACAGTCAACATACCAAGAATCAATCTGAAAAACAAAGCAATTAATGTTGTGTTAATTTATTGCAAGTATGCATTTCACTAACAAACTATTGGAGTTAATGATACCAATTTATATTCATATATACCTAACTTATTACATCTGAACTTCATCATTTTAATACAAAGTCCTTACTGTTAGCGTTAGATTAGTTGATAGATTGTTGGGGTTTAACACCACTTTCAGCACTATTGGGTATATCCTGGCAGTCAGTTTTTATTGGTGGAGGAAGCCAGAGTGCCAGGAGAGGACCACAATCTTAGGCAGAAAAACTAGCAATCCTAGTCGATAAAGATTGGAGTTTCACTGAGAATTTTACAAATGAAAAGTAGCAAAGATGAAATCATGCTTTATTTATAAAAACCCCATATAACATTATTACCAATACTTTTATGAACAACTATTTCATTAAAGGTTTTCATAAACCAGGACTGGACATAAAACATCAAAATGCCTAGTATAACAGTGATCTAACTATTAACATGACTCCTCTGTGTTAAAACATATATTCCAGTCAATTCATTTAAAGTATGAACAAGTCATCATTCAAAGTATTGGAAAACATGAATTAGTAGTCTAACAGATCCAAAGGTGATTACTTTTTACAACTCACCACTGTCAAACTACTTATGAAATATTAAGTAATTCTGAAAAGTTGTATCAGAGAAAAAGAGTTATGAAAATATTTGTTGAACAAACAGATGGACAAAAGGGCAGACAATGTGATTGCAATATACCCCCTACATTCGGAGTATTATAATGTTATTACCCAGCTTCATTTACAACTGGTACTTGGTCAAATCCTTCCTTGTTTAGTAGCTCTAATGTTTCCTGTATGGTGACTGTTGGTGTCACAGTCAGTGGAGCTCTTAAAGATAAACTACTCACTGGTAGATTCCACCACCTAAAAATAAACACAAAATTTCATACACATAATAAAACAGAGGCCCCAATGAGACTGTTTAACTTCCTTGATATTTTTTGCATAAAACTTATACAATTCAAAAAGAACATGTGTTGAATGGTAATTGTGTGGGCCAAAATCTTTTCTTGCTGATTAATTTTGCAGGACAGTGGTGTGTACATGACTTTGCAGGACAGTGGTGTGTACATGACTTTGCAGGACAGTGGTGTGTACATGACTTTGCAGGACAGTGGTGTGTACATGACTTTGCAGGACAGTGGTGTGTACATGACTATCCATTAGTTTTCAAGGTAGTAGAAACAGGCAAAAAAAAAATTGTTCGTCACAAATCCTGTAAAGTTCAATTTAAGATTTCAATCAAACAACTTATTTGTAGTTCTTGTATTGCTGATCATTTTAGCTGTTCAAAATATCAGGCAATCTATTACAGTTTTAAGTTTTGCTGTCTAAAGTTTCTCTCTATCTATTTCAGTTTTTACAAATATAAACACAAAATGGGTAAAAATGGGCAATAACTCTAGACCTTATAAGGAGGTCAACTAGTGATGTCAGCAGTGTAACTTATTTGCATGTCTTGTCTTGCTGATTATTTTACTGTTTAAAGTTCCTTTCATAGCTTTATAGATTACGGCCAAAAATACCAAAAATGGGTAAAAAAAGTCATTGAAGGGCAGTAACTTATAAAAGAATATGAAAATAAGAAGATATGGTATGATTGCCAATGAAACAGCTCTCCACAAGAGACCAAATGACACAGAAAATAACAACTATAGGTCACTGTACGACCTTCAACAATGAGTAAAACCCATACCACATAGTCGGCTATTAATGACGCCGAAATGAAGTCCAAAAAGATTTCTGTCAATTTGGCTTATTTGTTTACCAATTTTGATATTTCAGTTTCCGCAAAAAATGGAAAATGTGTAAAAATTGTCATTAAAGGGCAATTACCCCTTTAAGAAGTTTACTGTCGAGCTTATCATTTTTGCCAAAAAATTCACACTCCATCTATTATGGATTTCAAAATTATGGCTAAAAACCTTAAAAGGGGCATCAGCTACGATTAAGACAAAAATTTGAAATACAAATCTTTTTGTTTCAAGTATTGATAAAAGTGGAATTTTAAAATGATATCTTGTTATAAGCAGTTAGTTTGTCCCAAATTTGTCAAAATAAGCTCAAAAACATCGCTGATGTATTATTGACTTGCAAGTGAATAATTCGACCTTGTGAACTTTAATTTAACCCCTTAGCTGGGGATGGGTAATGCAGGCACTTGGCATGTTCAGCTATTGAAAGGAAAAGAATGTCAACATCGAAAGTGAAACAAGTGTGGACCATTTCTTTGACTGATTTGATCCACAAAAAATTCATTCTTATACAGGTAAAAATGATGATTAACTTATTTTTTTCAATCTATAACATGAAATCAAACAGACCTAGAAAAATCCAATTGCACGTGGTCACTATCTATTTATATTTATATTTATATTTATTTCGGGCTATTCGACCTTCTGTAGTCTTCGTAGGTCATCTCGATGGTTAATTCAATGGCATCTAGACTAAAATACACATGAAATGCTGATATTTATTATCAAGTCCATGCATTGTTAATTGTTTATTTTAGACTTCTTGTAATTTGGATATAAGTTTAAGTATGTTATAAATCAAACATGAGAATTGAAGTCAAATCGGTGAACATGAATTTGACAGCTAATGCCCCTTTAAGGAGTCTTCAGACACTATTGGTCAAAATATACATTGGTAGAAATTGACATTTTGAATGTTTCTTCCCCCTGCCAGATTTTCTCTATCAAAATCTGTTTTCCAGGTTTAAGCAATTACTCCTATTTTATCCATATATTCTATTTTTAGCGTTGACAGACATATCTAAAAAAAATTTAGATACCAAACTTTTGTTCCAACTGGCCCAGTTCTTTCAGAGGAGTAGTTTTGTAGAAGTTAACAGGTGACAGACGATGAATGGCAGGTAATGAAGATAGCTCACACTTGCACTTTGGGCCAGGTGAGTTAAAAAAGCAATTTTTAAATGTTTAATTAAATAAAAAAATCTTTACCAATATTGATCGCTTTAATTCTATTTTACAACTTCTTACAAGATATATGACTAGTATTTTGTTGCTCCTTTCCAAATATTTTTACTTAAATATAAATAGGAAAAATATGTACCTTAACCTGGGACTATTATACTAACGGGACTGGAAACCGTTACACCAATCAGTGTAATAATACTCAACATCACGGTCGTTAGAAGGAGGCTTTACCTGCGTGATTTATCGATACGCCATATTGTTTTGACAGTGACAGCGTGCCTTGATATTATAATTTCGGTAATTTGCTTTTTGTTTTTATAGTTATTCGAAATGATAATCCCTAATGTAAACACGATTACTATAATGATAAAAGATATCTCGTTCTTTGACAGTTGTTATTAATCACCAAATCCCGCCTAAAGTGTAAAAAAATGACATATAAAGGTTGAATTTTTCAGGATGATAACAGCGTGGGGATGATGTGGAAAAAAATATGATTCATAAAATTTCTTATAACTGTTGATTGAAAAGAGATATGCGAGTTCAGTTTGTTGTAAAATCATATTTATAGGTTATAAGTTGGATTGACCTATTTTTTTTCTTCACTTTTTAAAGTGAAAAGTGGAATAATAATCTCTTTCTCGTTACAACCGGAAACCACATGCAGGGCTCAAATAAATTATACTGTTCCTATAAAGTTGCCTACTCCTTTTTACGTGTGCAAAATTTTTATGAAAATCTGGGGTTTTTTTTGCTAAGTAATGGTCTTCAGGTGGCATTGGCATATGACTTCGCGAAAATATGTAAAATAGGTTCCACAATCAGAACTACAAAAGTAGGCCCGTTCACAGCGGCTTTTTTTTTTGCTGCCATATTGAAATTTAGGTGTAAACAGGAAGTTTAGAAAAGTTATGTATTTCATCTGTTAAAATAGTTTTATTATTCAATGACATATATTTTTATTTTTTGCATTTAATTATTATTTTTAATTTCAAATCCACCAATTTTAACGGTATTCTGTATGCTGACTTGTTCGCTGAAATTTATTGTTCACATGTACCGAATTTGAAGGCTAATTACCCACGTGACACGATAAGCTGTCAATCAAAACAAAAAATCAATAAACTACTATTGGGACAATGAAATCTCAACAGATCGATCAGTTTCCAGTCCTGTGAGTATAATAGTCCCAGCCTTAACTTATAAGTTAACTGAAATACTTTATTTCTCATGTGAATAAAAAAAGTTTGTTGAATGAGTCCACAGAAACAATCATAAATAATCTTGATTTTTGAACTGAAAAGTATTCAAATTATTTGTTTTCTGTAAAAACCAACTACCATTTTTTCTGTTTAGATAAAAGGCAGTAAATAATGCAACTGCCAACATATTTTTTTTAAATTTTCAACTAAATTATAAATTATATTCACCAGTTACCACAATATGAATAATATAATACAGTACATGTATACATAAAATGAAAATGAATGTGTGACACCTAAATTATGTTTTTCTTATAAAACAAGAGGCTCTAAAGAGCCTGCATCGCTCACCTTGGTCTATGTGCATATTAAACAAAGGACACTCTCCAACATTGTAGACAAGAATAGAATTCATGACAAAAATCTCTGTTTTGTTGATCTTGTATTGCTGATCATTTAGTCTGTTTAGTTTGTTTCTCTCTTCTCTAGTTTTTGCTCAAAACACAAAAGAGGGAAAAAAAATAATCCTCTTTTAAGGGCAATCACTCCTATAAAGAGTGACAGTCTACTAACTATATTGGCAAAATTTTACTTGTTAGTAGATCTTACCTTGCTGATAATTTTTGTGATTTTTGTGTGTCTACTCATTTATCATAATTTTTATCATATAAGGCAAAATGCAAAATAAATGGTAAAAACCATCATTAAAGGGCAATAACTCAAATAAGGAGTTGTCAGACGATTTCCTCCATATAGTCTTAATTGTAGATCTTGTCTTGAAGATCATTTTTGCTTTACTAAGTTTCAATTTATCTATTATAATTTTTAAGATATAAGGCAAAAACGCAAAAAATGGGTAAAATCATCAGTAAAGGGCAATAACCCTAATAATGAGTTGACTGACGATTTCAAATATGCAGACTTATTTGTAGAACTTGTCTTGCTGATCATTTTTAGCAATTACAGTTTCTATCTATCTAATATAGTTTTCAAGATAATTGGCAAAAATGAAAAAAAAAAGAAGGTAAAATTTGTCATTTAAGGGCAATTACTCCTATAATAAGTCGCCTGACAGTTTTGACTTATTTGGACAATTGATAGAGCTCAACATTCTGAACATTTGTGCTCCTGTCAGATCAGATTGTCTCTATTCAAAATGGTTTTCAAAGTAATCGACAAAACTTGCCTTTTACCCCTATGTTCTATTTTTAGCCATGTCGGCCATCTTGGCTGGCAGGCGGAATCATCAGACAAATTTTTTAAACTAGATACCCCAAAGATGATAGTGGCCAAGTTGGGTTAAATTTGGCCAAGTAGTTTTAGAGGAGAAGATTTTTTAAAAGTAAACGACGACGACGGACAACGACAACGGATGACGGACGCCAAGTGATAAGAAAAAAAATCTAATTTTATTCTTGGCACATACTTCTTGTAGATAAAAAAGAAAGCACCTGTAATAAAATGTGACCTTGTGATGTGATAGACTATAACACTGCATACACACACCTCAGTGTAAAATTTAACAACCTTTCCATTTAATTAACATGTGAATTTTAGTACAAAAATAAATAAGGCTTAATGGTAGTTCCCTGAAAAAGAAACATTCAAAGTTGAAATACTTTCTACAGACAGTGGTTTAGAAAGAGTTGTAGACAGAAAAAAATCTACAGAAGTCCAGAACAGATAAAATCTTAATAATAAAGGTTTAGAAGGAGGCATTACA